AAACATATAAGTGAAACTTCTTACACCCTGGTATGAAAAGTGTGAGAAGTGAATTGATAAAATCGATATTTCTTATGTCCCGTCACACCGACAGCCTAAGGAAGGACTTTTTCTCAAGGAAAGTTTTATGTGACCTGTTAGAGAGTCAGTTACCAGTACCATTTATGGCTAAGTAAATTTTATATCAATAATAACAAACAAAAAAAAACAAAAACCAAAATATACACATATACACTAAAAACATTAAAAACATTTCGGTATTTTTTATGATCTACTACTTTTATTTAGTTTTCAATTGATCTGTATATTTGTATTCAGGATACTGTTTTAGTATATATTTTTAGATTCCTTTTAAAAATATTAAATGAATTTTGAGTTTTTACAATTTCAGGTAATGTGTTATATAATTTTGGTCCAATATATAGAAAGCTTCTCTATCCTATTGACTTATACATAAGAGGTGTTAAATATGTCTCTATTTCTTGTTTTCATACATATGATTTCGAATTTGTAATTGAGATTTGAGAGTACATTGTCGTTTAACAACTTCTAAGAAATAAAGGTGCCTCATATCCATAATTTCAGTTTCTAAAAAAAGCAGATTACTGGGATACCTCCGATATTTTCAAAGAGAATTTTAAGAAATTGTTTTAGCGATATATCCAGTGCATTGTTATATGTACAGGGATATCTTCCCCCCACTCTATTATACCATATTTTAAATGCGATTCAACTAAGATATAATTGACCATATTCTTTTGTTTATAATTAAAAAAAAAAAAATACGTGTTGCACTCGGGGACTGCCGCGGTAAAGCTATTGCATAGCATTTTTTATCAACTTAATCAATTATAATTATTTATTTATTTTATTTATGCAGTATTTTTTTTCTCTTTGATATTAATTCAAGTTTTTTCTTTGATATTAATTCAAGTTACACTTTTTGAGCGTGGTGAACGATAAGAAAACAATTTTTTTCTTTTATTGAATAAATGTTAATATTGTTTAAAATATTTTTATTATCTTACAATACATGTAGGTTATTCAGGAATTTTTATCATTAAAACTATAGGTTTATGGTAACTGAAATAAGAAACATAAGTTTGAGACTTGATATCCTCTAAATATCTGGAAAATACCGCGTCAATGGTGGTCCCATATTTTGTTGTGGATTCTTGTGGATCATTTTTCATTTTCAAATTCAATTTTTCCGAAATTGTGTCTAAAAGAGATAGAATCAGTTATGAGCAGTTAGCAGCTAGTCTACACGCACACGTCTAGTCGTACACACACAAACACCCTGCCGAACTGAAACGACGTTAGACGATGCACGGCTTTCAACGCCGCACCACTGTTCCGGTCGGAGTGGGGGGTGTTAGGTTTATTTTCGTTACGGAATTTCTTTTACGATTTTTCTTTTTGGATTTTACGATATTTCGATTTTTCTTTTTTCGATTTTTCTTTTTTTCGATTTATCGGTTTTTTGATTTTTTCGATTTTCCATTTTTCGATTTTCTTTTATTGAATAAATGAGAAGTTAATATTGTTTAACGCCGCACCGCTGTGCCGGTCGGAGTGGGGGGTGTTAGGTTTTTTCGTTACGGGATTTCTTGATTCGGTCGCCGCGCTCAATGTCCGCGATAAAAGCTATGCAATAGCTTAAAAGGGCATAATATGTTTAAATTTAGAGTAGTTTGTCTAATTCGGCCTTTTGTAGTAAGACTCCATAGACTAGGAAGTAGTTCTTCGGCGTAGCTAGTTGCCCTTGGTTTTTCTTGGAGTGTAAGGAGTGTAAGGAATCATTGTCTTGATAGACCTTCGCAGTAGCACAATAACTTTTGCAGTTTCCTCCTCTTCCTGACAAAATCGGCACAAGGTATCTTCTGTCAGACCGATATTATACACATGTTTATTAAGCCTACTACTAGACCTGCCATATTGCTAGACAAACTGAGAATGCAGTGTGAAGTCTTATGAAGTGCGCTATTCTGGGATCGGAAAAAAACAGGTCCGGTCTCAGGCAAATTTCGACACGCGTTTAAATAAACAAACTTTACGCAATAGATAATTAATTGTAATTCATCGTCGTGGTCTGAAATCTCACTCTCAGAACTGTCGCCAAAATTTACTCTTATAATGAGTGCATCAACGTTGTCTTGGAGATTATCAACAACCCACATTTCTTTTTCCGTTTTTTCTGTAACATATGCAAAGCTATTACGCCAATTTTGTTCAATGACATTTTCAAATGCTTCATCTATCAATGAACGAACATCCTGTGTCTTGAAATCAAATTTGTTCATAGCAATATAGCGTTTTACTTGATTCCATACCATCTCGATCGGGATAAGCTCGCAATGATATGGTTGTAAGCGTAAAGCAGTTACCCCATATTTTGCAGCTATTTCCTCAATCTTATATTTGTCGTACTGCTCTTCTCTGTATGTGTTAGCAACTTCAAGCAGCTAAGATTTTAAATAGGAGTCGTCAAAGAAAATACCCAATTTTTATTTCGGGTTCCATGAGGTAGCTGGAAAACTAAATTTACGGAAATGATACGAAGCGTTATCCATAACAACGTATTTCGTTTATTTTTAGGCAAGTTAGGAATCAGCGACTCCTCAACCCATTGCTCAAATTAGTCGGCGTTGATTTCGTCATGATAATCGCAATCGTTATTCTTTGCCCTTAGGTTATCATAGGGCTTGCGAATCTGATATATAGCCATAGGAAAATTTTCGGTTGTAGTCCCCAATTTTTTTCCACACAACCTTCGACATAAGTTGAAGGACGTTGTGCTCTTTTGATTCCATGTTAACCTGTTTTCAAGTATTTGGTCTCTTGAGCAAATGAAATCTTCACTCCTTTCAGTACTGATGATTTTAGTACTTTTCGTTTTTTGAAGTTGACTATTGTGGTTTTGTCAGGGTTTACTATTAGTTCCTCCTCTCTGCACCACTCGTCAACGATGTTTTGAGCGGTTTGTGTGCGCTCCGATATTGTACCTGCGATCTTGCCTTTTAAAGTATGGATATATTAACCTTTTTATGCGCTCGTCCACTAGGACTGGCCAAAGGAGGGGTGGATAGTATTCCTCCTTGGGGACAGCTCCTGGCTGCTTCAGCCTATAGTGTAGCTTAGCCTAGAGATGATACTACCATTTCTTCAAGGCTGCCTTTTATCCACTCACACAGGACTACTGGTACCCCTTTCATTGCTAGTGTGTTAATTATAGATCGTGTGACATTATTAAAAGCTGCCTCAATATCTGCGAAAGTTACTACTGACATTTCTTTATTTTTGCATCTATTATTTGATGGATGCCTTGCACAATACCTTAGCAACTCCACAGATGGGTTTAGGATCTGTCATGGCCTTATCTGAGCCTTCTCAGGCAAGTTCGTCGGCCTTTTCATTGCCCTGATATTCCTCGTAGCCTGGCACTCAGGCTAGGATCACCTTGTTTTGACTACTTAGCTCTGTCAGGTCTTCTAGGCAGTCTCTCGCCTGTCGTGATTTGATTTCTAATGAGAGAATTGCCTTTAGAGCTGCATGACTATTAGAATGGATGATAGTAGTTTTAGTACCTGGCGGCTATCCTCGACAATAGCTAAAAAAAACGAACCGAAAGTTAGTGGTTGAAAAGCGAGTAGTTTTTGAAATCTATATTCTTGTCTGGCTTTCGATAAGCATTCGTTTTTTAAAACGTGTACGTTTTCAACAAGCAAATAATTCTGGCATCACTGTAAACTGTCTATATCGTTTAATTCAAGTAATGTACAGGCCATAAAAAATAAGGATTATGTAATTTAGTTACAACAAACCAATTGTAAATTTATCGAATGATGATTTTTTCTAACCATATAATATATAAATGTTCTGGATAAACTGCATCGTTTATTTTTTGGGAAAATATGGCTACACTGGTGCAGTCAGTGCAACCTATAATTCCAGGAAACTCGAACGTCATACAAAAACCTAGTTTTTATGGTACAATATTAATTTAAATAATAACTGTGCTTGCTGTAAAACACCCGTTTTAAAAACGTACACGATTTTAATAGGAATGTCGAGAATAGCCAATAGCTCGCATGTTGCTAAAGCGTATACGTTTTTTAGAAAACGATAACCGAGGATAAGGCCCCAGATACTTGCTGATTTATTATTTCTCTTGTAGTGTCCGATTACAATTAGAAGAACACAGCTACGTCATAACCATTTATACTTCGAATTTTGAATTAATTGGTTATCGCCGCCTACTGGGGTTTAGTGGGCGTGTCAATATTATAGGAGTATAGGAAATATTGTTTTATACCTAACAGCTTACATATTTTTTATTTATTAATAGTTATTGATAATATGTATTCGAAATTCGAAGTAATGGTTATGACGTAGCGGTATTCTTCTAATAATTGTAATCGGACCCTACAGGGTTGTATGGCTATTAGTTCAGCCTGGAACATTGTTGCATATTCTCCTAGACTCAGCGAAATCGTTGTTTTCGACAAATATTCAAGCACCGGCTCCTTCCTTGGTTTTTGAACCGTCTTTATACCATACGACTTCAGCCTGTATGGGAGGTCCCTGTTTCCAGGTTTCTCAGGCTGGTATTTGAATTTGAAAATTTCTTTCAAATTTGTATGTGGTTATGGTTATATCAATAGGCATTCCTAGAATCTTATCCTTTTTTACTTGCTGGTATAGCCTCATATAGTGAGCGCTATGTAGTTGGCTGTATATAATTTCCTATCAGTTATCTATACATTTTCTTATTGAAAGTTCAAGTGACCTGTTTATTATTTTTTTTTGGATAGGGTGTCTGACTATGCAGAACTTCTTATGTAAAATAACTTTTTGCTTAAAATTAATAATAAAAAAGTTTTTATATGATTCAATCTTAAGCATACTATATATAAAACATTTATGTCTGGGAAAAAAATAAAATTTGTCGTTTCTTTAAACAGGATTGTTTTTTTTTTATTCACAATATTACTTTTCAGATTATTGGAAAAACGAGCCCACTACAAGACAAAAATCTTCTCGATGGTAGCACTCCTCCAGTAAATACGATAATATTTGAAAACACTAATTTCAAATCTGCGCCGGGTACGCGTAATAATACTCGTCCAGAAAATAAACCTCGTATGAAAATTGATGATGGCACTATAGACAACTCTGTCATTTCCAGCTTTAACAAACCCAATATGAATGATCTCCTTCAAACAAAAACTGATAAGGCTGAACCCATCCAGCTGCCACTATTTAAGGAAGACACGGCAGATATGAAATTGGACTTCTTCAGTGCTGACCTTCAGTTCTCTGATGATAAAACGTCCAAAAATTTTGTGTCCAAACCTATTCACACTATGACTAGTGGTAACAATACAGTGGACAGTTTGGATATCAAAATTGCATCTGTGAAGAAGGTTTGGGAAACTTCGGAACAAGAAACTGAAGAAAATCAGATCAGTTTTGGTGGTCCTCCTCTAGATTCTAACGTCTTTAATCAAGGAAAAGATACTCCTGATGATAACCATGAAGTTTATAGCCCTTCTCCCAGTCAGAGTGTATCGACAACCACAAATGTATGCAAGGTAATTACTACTAATTTACATAATTTACCAGTATTTATATTATAAGGTACAAAAATATAGATATTTGCAACATTTACATTTTGTATATTTTTAGGTAAAACCTACTCAACAAGTGTCTGGTAGTGGACAAACTGTACTTTCTTCCAGTCATCAGCCTCATACAGGTATTGTTGCACCTGGTTTAATGGGAAATCCACTTTCTCCCCCTCCTATGCAACAGGTCTTGGGCGCCAGTGTTGGTATTGGACCTCAGTACACAGCCAATCAGCATATTAGCTATCAGGTAACAATATTGTAATTTTTGTCTTTAAAATTATAAAAAGTATAACAAGATTGTAAATTATTGTATATTCGAAAAGGAATTCACACAGAATCGGCAGAGTATATTTTCTGAGAATTTATTTGCCTATTTAAAACCATAAATCAATTAATACAGATTAAAGCAATTTTGGCTGCAATAAATAAGGTGCAGGCTTAAATAATGTTTTATTATATTTAGGATACCATCATTTAAACAGCTTATTTTCTTTGTTTATTTTGACTTTTGAAAAATACTCTAATTAATTACTAGGAAAAACAAACTATGGTAGATTTCACAAAAATAATCCTCGCCAATATTTTTGTGAAAATCGACCAATTTTTTTTTAGTAATAACTATAGATTTTTATCAAGTAACGATCAAATCAATCAAGAATATTAATATTTGACAATTATGGCTTTTGCAGAAACCAATTAGTCAAGCTCGTTTATAAGTATGTACATATTATAATTCTGCACCATCTATCTTTACTAATCTTATTTCTGGCAATAAAGATCAAGTATTGGTTTTCTATTACCCTTTCATACATTTTTATGTATCATATATCATTAAATAGGCAAATGCCCCATTAAAATATATATCCTATCCTATTGATTTTGAAAACTGAAATTAAAAATATTGAACACTGTTTAAGTGTGACTCCTTTGTATCCCAATAATAATCAAGAAGATGAAGAACCAATAAACGATATAGAAGAAGATTCTAATTAATTAAAAGATTTGGAAGAGGAGCATATCGTCGCGGTAAAGTCAAAATGCAATTTTAGATGAAACACAAAAAACTATATGATCTGAAGTTTATTAGAAACATTTCATTGATATTCTTTTTGTGTGTTACCTAACTGAGTAGTCGAAAGGATATTTTTAACTTTTATGGCAAATTTGCAAAAAAAAACATGAGACAGGTTATAAAATTAAAAACTAATAAAAAATGACATACGGGAATGAAATTATTAAAAATAATAAAACAAAAGAAATAATGTAATAACGTTTATTCTTGAAGAATAAAAAAATAAACGAACACGTAAATATTGAATTATATGTTAAACTTAAACTAGTTGAATTATTTATTTAAATACTTATTTATTCTAATTTATATATATATATTTCGAAGTCTCTAAATTTATTATTTTAGTTATTTATTTTTATATATTTGGACATAGCCCTTTTACAATGTTTACAATTTTCTTACAAATTTATAATGTGAAATGTAAAATAATTCAGATTTAAAACAATTATACATGCCTTATGGAAATAGTATTAATAAAAACAAATACAAAAATAAAGATAAAATGAACAAGATATGTATAGATGAATCCATGAAGAAAACATAGACTGTAGAAAATTGTAAGAAAAATGAAGTCAATGAACAGGGGTGTCATAAAATCCATGGTAATCGGATGGAATAACCACTTTTAGGAACTGTAGATGTTTATATTTATCTTCTTTTGGGGTATATTCTGTAAAAATTTGGTTAAAATTAACCCTGGGTTATAAAAATAACCAGATGTCATTTTAATTTTGTATTCTGTACTATTTGGTTAAAATTATAACTTATGTCAGTCAAATATGTCAAATATATTCTTTTTCTTATTTTTAATGCTGCGTTGGGTTTAATTTCAATTCACTTTTAGGTATATTACAATATTGCCATGTCTATTTTAACTGAGATTGGTTATAAAATAGCTAATAAAACAAAATTAAATTGATTGGATTTCGAATGGAGATTTGAGTTAAAATTTAAACGTCATAGTTATAAATAACTTTTTCCGCCTACCTCTATCCAAAGTATACATTTTCTGGCCTCATTGCAGGGAGCAAAGTCGTACTTTTCCTCCCTAGGAAGGAAAAGTAAAAGTGACGTCATGGTATGTCATAAATGAAATAGCTTATACGGCATTGACGACCTAAACTATATTCTATTATATAAGTATAAATTTTACCGTTTATTTATAGAACACCCTGTATTTTGCAAAATAGTAAAAACCAGTAAATTGTTATTTTAATTTTACGATTTTTACATTAATAATTTGACTTCAATTCATAGATTCATCCGATTTTCGAATTTAGGACAGAAATATTATGGTCGATTGACAGATCAGTTTCAAAGTGTGTTACGCTATAATATATCTACAAAATATAAAATATTTAAAAAATGAGTGATTTAAGCGAATTTGAAGATATAATTATTACACCACCGGATATTTTGGAACAGGTTAATGCAACAGTACAATCTCTATTACCCCAAAAATCTAAAGAAAAATACGAAAAACAGTATTTACATTTCAAGCAATGCGCCGAAGAAAATTATTTAAAAATCATATGTATTACTTGGGAGTAAAGTGCCTAGTAATACAAATAGCTATTAACCTGTGATTAAAAGTCCTGGTGGTGAAAAGTAACTGAAACGTTATAGAATAGACCCCTTTATGGGTAATGGTCTTTCATAAAGGTTTTTGGTTTTACCAATATTATTTATTTTGCGTTGGGGAAGTGGTTTCCAGTCTTCATCAAAATCTAATTTGTACTGAATATCGACGGTGGGACAATACTTGAAGGCTCTCAAATCATTAACAGTATAGTCACCAACTTTTTACCAGGACGAATAGACGAGTAGGATTTTATTCCAGAATAGTCTTTGAAAAATTTATGATTGACATATTTAACCTGATACTGACTTTTGTCAGGCTATTTTTATGATCTCCACATAATTTGATGGTTACTAGATATCCTGGTTTTTCATGCGCCGCTCGATGGTTGAATGGACACTATCACACTCCATCTGTGAGTGCAAGAAATTCTCAATAATTACAGTCTGGTTAATAATGGCAAAGTGTAGAAGAGAGTTTGATAATGTAACGTTTCTATTTCGCGCACCATATCCATCACTGTAAATAATTATGGGTTTCCCGGTACCATCTTCAAGCTATTTTTCAAGATAATTAGTTAAACATGATGCAAAACAGTTTCCATACATTCCTCCTTCTCCATCGTGCCATATGTAACAAACTACTAAGTTATACAGGGTTTAATTATGACCAGCCAGTTTTTGTTTGAAGTATACCATTCCAGCCTGCACATGTGGTAACAAATGTACAGCTTGAACATTTAGGGTTAAAGCACATAAGTTTTCTGCAATGGCCTAAAACTTGTCTGTTTTTCTGCTCTTGCTCTTTCTTTTGAAGCTAAATATTCTTTTGTAAATTTCATCGCTTACATTTCCCATCTTATGAAAAATAGATCGCTTTGTTCTTTTCTGGGATGAAATAGGTCAATGTTTAACTTTCTCATCTCTGATAGAAAAACGTTTGTAGAGGTAACAAAGCTTGACTTTTTTTTTATATTTCCGAATACGAGCGGAAGACTGTCTTTAAGTACATTTTGTCTGTGGAAGAACGACAGTAGTGTAAGGGTAACTTTGGAAGTCTTTCAAAAATCTTCTTTCTGCAGGTAGTGTAAATAGCTTTTACTTTCGAAGGAAAACTTTCAAGTGACTTCGGAATACCTGAAGGGTGTGCGTTCATTACCCATTTATGGACAGTTCATGTTCCAATGCCAAGAGTAGATAATAGCTATTTGTGTATTAAGAGCGAAAAGTGATACTTTGCCGCTTAAGACAAAAAGTTGCCCTGTGACGCGTATCAGAGCGCGGCAATTTGTCGAAAGCGGCAACGAACTTTTCGCTCAAACTGCACTCAAGATTTTTTTCTACGATCACATTATTTTAAGAAACGGATATAAAAACTGAAAATTTGTCATAAGTAGTGTTTAATGTGTTGCCTATATCTACGTTATTCATGAAAAAGGGCGTTGATATTCAAAGTCAATGTTAACTTAGGAAAAATCATCAAACTAGTTACAAATAACTTCAAAATCATTTATTAAAAAGAAATATTATTATTTTATATCTAATTTAAATTAGACGCGCGACAAAGCTGTCAGATTTTCCGCTCGGCGATCAATAAAACGTCAACTTTGCGGTAGAATTTCGAAGCGCAAAAGCCTATTTTGGATATGATCGTAGAAAAAACATTTTTGTGCACACAAGTTTCAGTTATTAATTTTTAAATGGTAGTGTAGAGAGCTGGTGCGTCTAGATACTGCTTTTATTGTTTTCTTAACATGTTGGTTTTCCAAAGTACAAACAATTCACCTAAATTTTTAATATGAATTTTTGTATTTTCAGGCTAGTCTATCAGGAAACACACAATATGGTATTTCAACCATCCCTTCGCCACCGACCGTTCCTCTTGTTTACAACTCCACGCAACAAATGCAAGCAGCTGCTCAAACAGCCGGACTGTATGGAGCTTTTCAAATTGATCAATTAGGAGGACAGGGTCGTTCTCAATATTCGCAGTATCCCAGTTATCATGGTATAGGCCAAACTGCAAACAGTCCCTATTCGACGCAGAGCGTCTTTTTACCAACGGCAGCTCCTCCGCCGCATCCCCCGCCTCCATCGGCACCCGGACCGCCTGAATTATACTCTAGCATGAACAATTATAGAATGAGTGCTACTGGTCCTTTTGGTCAAAACCAACAGCTGAGTAACCCTAGTACTGTGTTAATCAGCTCCACAAGCAATAGCTTGATGTCGGCTTCTGTAAAGCCGAGTAGTCAGCAAATTAGTGCAATTGGTAAGTTCATTAATCTTTATTATTTACAGTTATTAATTGTGATATATACACCGTGTCCCACGTAAGGCGGGCATTACAACTTTATGGAGAATAAATTAATTTGTATTTTCGCCATTTTCTGAGTATACATAATCGAATATGCTCTTTTGAATTAAAATAAAATGAACTCTGTGCAACTTCCGGTTATACCGGAAGTGACCACTAACTTCGTTATTTTAAAGTGAATACCCCATATTTTTTTTTAATTTTAGATTCAGCATGAAATTCTGTAAACAACGATACCCCATTTGCCTATTCTAGTTATAGCGGATTTGGCGTTATTCAATTTTTTTCTACATTTTTAGTCGCCGGTAGACATTTTCTTAAAGTCGTCTATCTCAGGTACTATATCTATCAGATACTTAAAATTTTAACCAGAGGTAGTAAATGGGATGTACTTCTTGAGAATATTTAGTTATTCATTATTTGTTGTACTTAATTAAATTAATTTTAAAAATGAAATTTTTTAAACATAAAAAACTTTTTTATTTTAAATTGAACACCCTATATATTTTTTAAATTTTAGATTCAGCATGAAATTCTGTAAACAATATACGTGGCGTTATTCAGTTTTTTATAAACTTTTATATGCCGGCAGACATTTGCTTTTTTAAATTTACTTGTACATCGTTTGTTCGACTGTGTGTTTGGAAATTATTTTAAAAAATAAATATTTTAAACATGAAATTTTTTAAACATAAAAAACTTTTTTATTTTAAAGGGAACACCCTATATATTTTTTAAATTTAGGATTCATCATGAAATTCTGTAAACAATGATACCATATTTGCCTATTCTAATTATAGCGGATTTGGCGTTATTCATTTTTTTTTTTTTTTATTTTTAGTCGTCGCGCCGGTAGGCATTTTCTTAAAGTCGACTGTCTCAGGTACTATTTCTGTTGGATACTTGAAATTTTAGCCAGAAGTAGTAGATGGGATGTACTTTTAAAAACATTTACAGTTTTCTGCAACAAAATATGTCGTTTAAAAAGTTTAAATTTTTTTAATGATAAGGTACATACTAACTAAAAACAATTTTTACTAAAAGCACATGGTTTAAAAAAATCATTTTATCAAATGTTCAAAATGCCCCCGTTAGCTTCTAAACATTTTAACAATCTTTTTTCAACATGATTAGTTGTTGCTTTACGAATCATTTCACCATCTAACTCGTTAAAGGCATTCCGAACTCTTTGCTCTAATTCTTCTTTAGTATTAATTTGGGTAGAGTACACTAAATTTTTAATATGACCCCATAAAAAAAATCAACAGGAGTTAGATCTGGCGATCTTGCAGGCCAAAGCCAAGGACCATTTGGACCTATCCATCGGTCTTCAAAGAGTGCTGTAATTTCTTGATTTACATATTATGTTGAATGTGCTGGGGCACCATCCAACTGGTACCAAAAATTATTATTTGGTAGCTGGTTTAAAATGTCGGCAACTACTTCTCTAAGAATTCTAATGTATCTTTCTGAGGTCAGTCTTTCATTATAAATGTAATAAAAAGCTCTTCTAAAACCGATCACTGCAAACACATTAAAACTAAATTCGTACTGAAATTGTGCTTCACGATAAAAATGTGGATTTTTGTTTGCCCAGAAATGACATTGCTTGCGATTGATGATCCCTTTACGTGTAAATTTCGACTCGTCTGACCACAAAATTTTGTTTAAAATCTCGGGATCTTCTTGAATTCGTACCAATAACCATTCGCATAATTCAGTTCGTCTTATTTGATCACCATCTCGCAACTCATGAACGTTTCTTTGTGCATAGGGATGCCATTTATTTAGTGCTAAAATTCGTTGTATTGACCCTCGACTAATATTTAAATTATCTTGAGCCATTCTAATGGAGGCGTGAGGATACGCAGTAAAATACCCTAATACGTTAATTAGAATAACTTCTTCATCTCGGACATAATGTTGACGGTTTCTTCCCGGGTTTTGTTTAAAATTATTCAAAAAGTTAGCTTCGATTCTATCAAATTTCTGTCTGTTCATTGGTGGTAAATGAGGGTATCGTTCATTAAACATGCGGCAGGTTCTACTTTTGATTCGATTACATTCTCCATGAATGTAAAATAAATTAAGAATATCTTGGTTGGTATATTCTTCAATATTTTCCATATTTTCCATATTTTGAACGCAAAAAATACACAACTTAAATACATAGAAATATGACAATTCAGTTTGTTGACAGATTGTTGTTTAGCATATTTCCACGGCATACTAAGATAAAAAATTAAAATGTAAAACTATACTATATTATGTAGGTGCATGCGTAAAATTTAAATTTAAATTTTCTTAAAATTGGCGACAGATTATTATAGGGAATTAATAGTGCAAATGAAGATCAATGAAGAATAATTTTCTGAACAAAATGAAATAAAAATATACAGGATTTTCCATTTAAAATAAAAAAAAAATTTCATGTTTAAAATATTTATTTTTTAAAATAATTTCCAAACACACAGTCGAACAAACGATGTACAAGTAAATTTAAAAAAGCAAATGTCTGCCGGCATATAAAAGTTTATAAAAAACTGAATAACGCCACGTATATTGTTTACAGAATTTCATGCTGAATCTAAAATTTAAAAAATATATAGGGTGTTCAATTTAAAATAAAAAAGTTTTTTATGTTTAAAAAATTTCATTTTTAAAATTAATTTAATTAAGTACAACAAATAATGAATAACTAAATATTCTCAAGAAGTACATCCCATCTACTACCTCTGGTTAAAATGTTAAGTATCTGATAGATATAGTACCTGAGATAGACGACTTTAAGAAAATGTCTACCGGCGACTAAAAATGTAGAAAAAAATTGAATAACGCCAAATCCGCTATAACTAGAATAGGCAAATGGGGTATCGTTGTTTACAGAATTTCATGCTGAATCTAAAATTAAAAAAAAATATGGGGTATTCCCTTTAAAATAACGAAGTTAGTGGTCACTTCCGGTATAACCGGAAGTTGCACAGAGTTCATTTTATTTTAATTCAAAAGAGCATATTCGATTATGTATACTCAGAAAATGGCGAAAATACAAATTAATTTATTCTCCATAAAGTTGCAATGTCCGCCTTACGTGGGACACGGTGTATATTTGAAATTGTAACGATGAACTATGCATGCCTTGTACCGGACAGAGTAGTCTAATTAAACTTACATGATTTATTAGATAAAGATATAAAGACTGATTTAGGTTTATGTTCGCTTGTTTGGTGTAATAATTTTGTCTAAGTGTAGTGCGGCAAGGGAAGTCTAATCAACGTGGAGTAGGCCATACTTTATATGTATCATTAAATTGTAGGGAAACATGCAGCTCAAAATAAATACATACAATTATCTATTAATGCAGGTTATTCCTTGGCATAATTTAATTTTCTGTGCTCTAAATTGCTTTTCTTTTTTAATAATAACAATACTGTACCTTCATTAAATTTAAACTTAACTAAATTAAAATTATGTAATAAAGAGGAGTTTTGAGGGGGCAACCTAATTAATATTTTTTAACATCCTATATCTTTAAATAAAATCAATTTAGAGCACAAGTTAGTCACAAAATAAGCCAATGAAATACCTCTTACAATATTGATATGCCATTTAGCAACACCCTGTATGTTGTGTTTATTTAAATAAAGAAAAAATATAAATAAATCGGAATACTTGCAGGTATAAATACAAAGTTAAAATTAATCAAATGAAATAAGTACAAATACAGAATAAATTAGTTATAAACATTGGATAACTCACTTAAGCATTATAATGCCTGTGTGCGAGCTAGTTTATTTTAAAACATTTAATTGAATTGGTTATTTGGAAAAGGGAATTTAATAAATCTACATTAAACTTTCAGTAATATAATTTTCTTGATCTTTTAGTACTTGGTATTAATCATATTTTTGTTTTGAGCTTACAAAACCTAAATAATCATTTTTTCAATGTTTTTCTTTTAAAAAGATTTTCGGACGTGTTTCTTTTTTGAACTAAATGGAATAAAAATACGGTAAATTTGTTTATAATTGGTTTATTATTTATTAAAAAAATAACATATTAATAGGGAGATATTTTAAATTTCTATAACTTCTAGCCACTAATAGTGACAACGTAATTAGATGCAAATAAATTATTCCATGCTAAAATAAGAGGTATTGCAAACCTGAATCTTTGACATTAGACATTATAATATACACATTTCTAACTTTATTTTAAGAATTTCAAATTACAGTTCAGTTTTTTGTTGTCTATAATAGTAAATAATATGGAATAATATCTTACCAATTTAGTAAATACTTCTAGTTGAAAAATAACAATGTCGGATTGTTCTTTGCACAATTTTAGGTCAATAAACATATTCTAGAAACAGTTAGTTATTAAATTTAAGAAAAAACTAAGGTTTTTGTGCAAAAACCATATAACTATTAATGTCTGAAAGGGTTTAGCAAGGCTACACACTTTTTAACGTTTTTATTTCTTATTCCCATAAATTAATAAACTTAGTTTGTTTACACCAAAACCTTTAATAATAGGAATATATTTTCAGATACTTGATTATATTTTTCAAAACTGAATATGTGATAATTGTGCAACGAAATGAATTTTTAATACCTTTCTTTTACCGCGAATGTTGGGCACAATAGATCTTTTAGGTCGAAGTGCATTAATACCCCATACTCAACATAATGAATGTTAACCTTAATAAAACTATTAAACTATAATTTTTAATGATTAAATGAATAATTGTTTTGCCAGGAACAAAAGCGGGTGGTGTAGGACAGGCGTACCAGCAACAATCTCAACAAGGTCAACAGATGTTTATGGCTTATGATCCTACTATTCAGGCTAATTATTTGGCATCGAGTGCAGGTGTGATGCAACGTGCTCCAGTGGCTCCAGCCCAAAACAATGTAGTACCTGGGCTGCAACCGTCATCTTCTTTTTATTCTGGATCGACAGGTACCAAAACTTTTCATACTGCGTGGAGGTACTAAAACTTTATGTACGAAATGAATCAGTGATGTGAAGACAAAAAAAAATATAGGATTTAAAAAGTTTATTCTCAAAAATTCTTGTAACAAAATTTATAAATCATAAACTTCTTATTACATGAAACTGGTAACAGAAAGTTTGGACAAAGAAAACATCAAACTTTAACGTGACCCGATCTAAATTACAGATTAAGAAATACATTTTTCTTTTAAGGCTTTATTGAATTTGTTGTACTGAGGGGGTACATACATACACTATGTCAACATTTTGCCATTCTGTCTAAATAGTTATATTAATATATAAAAAGAAACACAAATATTTACTTTCACATAATTTCTTTCAAATATTTTGTTTCAATATCCTTAAATAAATCACTTATTTGACTCTGAAAAAAAGTTTTTTTATGATATCACTGAATCACTCGGTACATATTAAGCTTGGGTTTTTTTTGCTTACAACTATGCCTGCTATGGACTTTTCCTATAGTTGTAAAACATAAATGAAATAATTATTGTTTTGGTCTCTTTATTGACATTGTTTTATTGTAGTGTTTTTATAAAATGTAATTAATGCGTATATTATTTGTAGTGTAAAATGTGTTTTAAAATTGATTTTGCCATATATACATATATTATATTATTTTTTTTTTTTTTTCATCATGCTATATTTACTTTAATGTAAAGGGGTATAAGATAAATTAAAACAAGGATTTCTAAATTTCATTGTGGGAGTAATACTGAAAAATTATTGTGCATAACTTGGCCCCTATTAAAAGTTATAGTAAAATTTTTACCTCGAATTATTCTGTTATTTTCAATATGATTGGAACTTGAACTCAAAATAATTTAATTTGTTTTGTTATTCAGACTGAATGAATTGTAAAATGGTAGATTTTACAATATTATGTAGAATAGTTTTTAACAAGTAGTCATTAGTATTATTAGGTATGTACTATCTTTTTCTAAAAAAAAGCTGGCAAAATCAATTTTATAATTTTTATCCATTTTTTTTTTTTAATAAAATCACAAGCTTTTTGTTTCTTTGTACATATGCTTTTACTTAGTATTAAAATATAATGTGTAATTAGGTACATATAAATTTAAAGTAATGTAACAAAAAAAAAAACAGTGAAGTAATATATCAAATACATTCTTAGCCTGTGTATTTTTTGCATGTTATTTATATTTTTGCTTTAACATCCAAATCGTACCGTCAATATTAGCCTATTTTATTTTTATATGGTAGTAAATAGTCAGGTATGTAAATTAGGTTAATTGTTAATTAGAAAGTGTCCAATTAAATGTTTTATATCTAATCTACAATCTTGCCATTTTTATAAATGATGTAGGAACAAAAATAATAAAGATATTGTTAATGCACTCCAATTGAAATTCAAATATTTTAACATGTGGTAGAAAAAAAATCCGTTTACTTTTTTCTAAACAAAACTAAAAAACCGTTGGTTATTTTCTTGTTTCAAATTTTTTATATATCATTTTATGAATTAAAACAATTTTTTTTATGGATTCACCCAGTATTTTACAGAAAAAAAGCTATACATGATAAAAATGCCGTCAAATATCAGAATACAGTTTATTTCAACATATTTTATTGTGAAACTCCAAAAAAGATTTAATAAAATATGACGTCTTTGAATTTTTAAATGGACTTTTAATAATCTGTTCTTACACCTCTTGCCTCAATTCAAGCCCGAATTCGTCAGAGCATGCTTTCTATGAAATTGTTGATTTCTTCCTGAGGAAGGTATCTACATTTAAAAACTGCTTTAATCAATTGTTCTGTATTTTCGGAGTTGTTTTGACAAGCTCTAATCATTTCTTTACCTTATTCCACAAATGCTGAATGGGATTAAGGTGGGGAACAAGCAGGTCAGTCTAATACTCTTACAACCTCTGTCTCCAGGGCATTTTTGGCGACTCTGCTGGTATGAGATGAAGAATTATTCTGCATAACTAAAAAGTCTGTCCAAAAGTATCTCTAAATCGTATTATGGGATGTAGCACCAAATCTACATACCTCTGCACAGTTAAAGTTTATTGCATGGGGATTAAGAGAGTTCTTTCCTATAGTATCCTGTCCCAAACATCACCGGTCGCGCAGCTTGAAGCCCGACTTGTCTTCTATGACCTTTTAAAATGGCTTCGTTGTTCATCAGATCTAATACCGATCCTGGTTTCGTCCGAAATTAAGAGGTTTTGCCGTTCTTCTATCATCTAATTTTGGTCCTCCAAGCATCAAATTAATCAATCGTTTACGTTTTGTCTGAATGTAACTCTCATCTCCTAAACAATTTTCTGGTATGAAGTTGTTTCCTAATCGTTTCCACTAATATACTTATTCAGGTCGCTTGTAGCAGTTATGTCTGTTTTTTGAATTTCCTAATTCAAAGGTTTTTGAAACCGTACGCCTTGTGAATCACTCACAATTATTCTTCCCCTCTGCTCATCTGATAATCCCACAAAAGGCATTTTTTAAAATATTACAATAAACAATCTGCGATGTTATTTCTAAGAATTTAAAATCAATACTATTTCAAATAATATTATATTGTTTTACAATTTTTTTTTAATGAAAAATTGTTTTGTAAATTGCTGAGTGATTCCCATATAAATTTGGTTGTGTGTACTAATTGCGGTTACTTAAGTAGATACATTTTAAAAGTTAGTCTGAGTCTATAACATTAATGACTTTAGTATTTGACAGAACTGGTAGTTGAGTTTTTAGAAATTTCACTATGAATGGCCATGTTCAATAAATTTATTTTTTTATCAGATCACGTGGGCTATGGGTATTGTTGAAAACCCGATGCATGAAAACAATAGTTGCATACACCAAAACCATGAACAGCAAATATACAATAACAATTAATTTAATTGTTTGGTACTTTAAAATGTTTTCATTAATAAAAATGTTAGACAGAATTGGCTTTTTTTATTATACAGTGTGCCATAAAGTTGGATCCATATGGGATTTTTTAATATTAAGATTGGAAAAAAAACGTTATAGAGCAATCACTTCTGCATTGTTAAAAACTCAAAAAAGGTAATATCAAAGTTGGCTACTGACATTGGTTATCTATCAAATTTTTCACGTTTAAAAATTACCATAAAACTCTGCTTTTGCATAATTTTATATTCATAAAAAATAACCAAACCTCGAACATTATTAACAAAAATTTGTATGTAATTCTCTTATTGTCCCTTTTAAGCTGTTTTAATGAATCAAAAATTGTCAGTTAAGGTGGTGTATCAAAAAATGTTAAAAACTAAAATGTTAATTCATATTTAAAAAAAGAGGCAAGTTTTGAACGATTTTTCAAAAAAAAAAAAATAGAATTTGACAGATAACTAATATCAATAGCCAAGTTTGGTAAGGATTATTTTAAGTTTGCCCTGCGACGTTTTTTTTCAATCATGATATTAAAAAAAAATCCCATATGGATCCAACTTATGGCACACACTGTATATATGTACTATCACTTACTAACATATTTGCATTAATGCCGTTTAGGTATAAAGAAATTTTAAAATATTTATCTAGATCATTGATATTGTGATCTGTAAGCCAATTAAATCACTTTTAATTTTCTTTTACTCTTAATTGTAAGCCCAATAAATACGTATATATGTTTACATCTTTCTAGCTTTCGATTAAATATGTATTTGCGACATTTTTCTAGGCGGCCAAACCGGTTTTTATCAGCAACCTGGTAGTTCATCGATGGGTTCTCAGATGCAACAGCACCAAGCTGGATATGGTCTGCAAGGCAACGTTTTTGGTACACACAGTCAGTCCCACACAAATACTGGCATGCAAAATTTCAACTCTCATTTTTTGACTACTCCTATACAAGTAGCAGCAGCTCTGAGTGCCGCTCAAGCACAGCAGTTTCGGTCTAGCTTACCTGCTGGTTACATGAAAGGCGTTAACAGTCAACAGATGGGTGATCAATCAGGAAGACCTCAGCAGCTCAAGAGTCCTAGCAGTCAAGAAGTCTTATCTTCCGTTTTTAATACAGGTATGAATATTTTTATAGGCAGTGAAATTTGTAATACCAAATTTCTTTTCTTAAAACAACTACACAAGAGGTACATACAATCATTAAATAAAATTACTACATAAAAGGAGGAAGAATATGATTTACAACATTGAAATAAAACAATTATTATGTAAACTAGAATTCTAGATTTGTTATGGTTTTTCGAATTTTCTTAACTGATTTTTCGTTACTTAATTCTTTGACAAAGTTTGAAAGTTGAATAATAGTAGTTTGTGCAACAAGAGTGGCCTACGGCGTCGTGCTCAAACTTCGTCCTAGTGCGATATGGACAATCCACTCGAGTTGTACAGTACATTTTTTCTACGACCCACTAACGAAACTACAAATTTTAAAATAATTTATGAATTTTACTAATCTATGCAGTGAGCATCATAAGTCTTACCCCCCTAACTAACTCGTTACTGGGGTCTTGTTAGGAAAATCGCCGAGACAGGTCGATTTTTGATTTTTACAATGTACATTTTTGCATGATTAGTTTACCCTTAATTTCATCCCTTACTGGATGGTAGCAACCCTTTCGAAAAATTTAAATGGCATGGGGTGGTGAGTGATAGCTCATTTGAAAGGGGGTTTTATTCTCTATTCAACCGTGCAAAAAATTTTGAAATTTGCTTCAAGCTTGAAACATGGCTTTCATGGATATCTAACAATAAAATAACCTTATCATCCTCATATTTGCAGCTCCAATTGCATCAGGTGGAGCCCCTTTCAACATGTGACTTTTAAAACTTATCGTCGGAAAAATAAATAAGCTGGCACAGTATTTCCAGCAGCATTAATACAACATATCATAGTAACTAGGACACCTCTTTCTCCAGAAGTAATTTCTCCTATTTGCTTTTGTCCTTTTGGTGCTAAAACTTTAGGAGGTTGCTGCACCATTGTAATCGCCATCTCATCGACGTTAAAAAGTTTCCTTTAGCCAACACATTTTTGTATATTTGAAAGAGAGCAGCCACTGTTTCTTGCACGCTCGAGTTTTCTAAGTGACAGATGCAGAATGTCTATTTCGGAAACCTCTAATCCAATTATCTCCTGCTTCATTTTTCTCATCCCAGTGAGTATGATATTTTCTTTCATTTTGCATTGTATATTCATGTGCCAGTTTTTCCCGTTTGCCAAACAAGGCCATAATGCATTCTAACAGCTGTTTAAAATAGTTTACCAGCTCAGTTTCCTCGGATTCACTAAAAACTGCTTTACTGTATGTTTTAAATTTTTTAATTTGTCTTGCTAATGCAAACTTTGCAATTCCAAATTGGTCCGCGGCCGCACGAATTGAAAGATTTTAAAGTTCTTGACCTTCTCTTCTTTACTTCCTGAGCTCCCTCGATACAACAGGAAGAGTCCATTTATAAATACAGTTGAATAAGTCGTTAGACATTACGATAACTATCACCCTAAAATATGCAAAACAAACGACAAAATCCCTAGCAGCATATGTTAATACTTCACGGACATATGTATAATTAAATCCCATGAAGGAGAACACTGTTGTCGATTTGTTTTGTGAAATGGAGGTGGGCCTAGGTACAACACTTCCCTACTCCAAAACGGATTCTCCGCAATAGATTTGTCTTTTTCTATTACACACTCTTTTTTTACTCGGGGAAACTGCCTCACTCGCAGCTGCCATTATGTGTCCTCTTTCTCGCAGAATATCATGTGCAGTGCTTTTCTTACTTAAGTATACAAGCTTAAAATCGCGCCAATTCTAAGATCGGCCAACTTTTGTCAAGCCAAACCTACATCACCATATTTGTAATAAAATTATCTACATTTTTATGTATAAACTATTAAGAAATATGATGACATTAAATTACGTATATTAATTTACCTGTTTATACTTGCTAAGTCAGTATTACAGTCAGGAAAAGGTAGCAATCTTACTTGCGTTTTATTTACATCTTTAAAGCCGGGTCCAGATCAATAAATTTGTCTATTGAATGTTGTGTGTTGAATTCGACAAAAATATTTGCGGCGCAAATGTTTTTTTATTGTGATTTTGTCGCGCAATTATGTGCGTTGTGTTGGTGTATCCATTGCGATCCATTTTCGTGCGTAGTTGATAAATAAAATTGGTGTTTATATTTGCATTTAGCAATAATTTGTGTTTGAAATAATAGTACAAATAAAAAAATATTCAAGTCCACATTAAAACAAGCACTCGAGGGTCGTTCGACGCAAATCTCTTTGAAGTTGGTAGAAAAACCGACAGACCCGTAGATACCGTGTGTTGTATGTGGCGCAAATAGGTATTTGCGTGTTTTTTTGTGCGGCACACAGTCCACATCTAGAAATATTTTGACGAACACGAGCAAATTTCCGCCAAATGCAACGCACAACGTAAATATTTATTGATCTGGATCCGGCTTTACTCTCAATTGGTATTCAATTTTTAGAAAAAAAAATACATTGTCGTAACTAGCAATAAAAATATAATTAAATAATTTTTAAGGGGGCGTCCATTGATTACGTGAGGTAATTTTGAGGATTTTTTGACCCCCTCCCCTAATCTCACGTGAGCTTTTTCAAAATATGTGTTTTGTGTGTAAATGCGTTGGATTATTAAAAAAAAAAACAAACACACAATTTGTTCTATTACTTTTATTTAAGACTATATTTAAGAGAATATTGCCGTTATATAAAATTTCTAGAAACATTCTTTACTTTAATTTAACTTTACTTTCACGCAATTTTACACCATTTTCTACTAGAAAAAAATTACGTCAGATTTGGAAAGATTTAGTTTTATCCCCTCCCCCCTTGAACACCTCACGTAATTAATGGATGACCCCTGATTAAAAATAGCTTAGACCGGATATGGGGCGCCAACACTGGAACGTTATGTTTATTTGTACATTTTATTCCATTAAATATTGTTTTAATTATTTATGTATGTTTGTCTATATATTTAATTTACTTTACACCTTGTATATGAATATTGTAGGTATTTTAGAAGCAAACAACTTATTATGTTAGCATAAAAAATAGTCGAAAAGGGGGAAAAAGAGTTTTTGCAAACTTTACCGCCCTCTACATTGTAGCATAGTTACCAAACGAGATAAATTGTAGAAAATATCATTAACGACAACTTTTATATGAAACATTTTCTGTTACAACCCACCTTAAGACCGATTAAAAAAAACCCAAAATGCAAAATTTTGGTTTTAAGCATTTTTTATGGCCACCTAACGATTCATGAATCACAATCGGGTAAAATTTTTTTTCTGAAAAACTAATTTTTATAAAACAAATTTGATCTTCTTTGTTGAAGATTGAAAAAAACTATTCAGGAGTATACAAACCACAACGGTCCTAAAAATAAAAAATACATGTTTCTTACTTTATACACTATAATAATAATAATTATTATTAACAGTGCTGTTCCTAAAGTGGCGCTGGGAAACAGTAACAAAGCCTACACAGAACACGAGGCGAAATAACCTTAATAGTTGAAGCCGATGACACACCAAAAAAAAAAAATATTAATCTGAAATAGCTTTTATGAACAAACATCAGCTTATTAATTATAATTATTACTAAGTATTTTTTTGTTTTAGGCTCTCAGATTCCCTCTCCAAAATCAAGACAAAATAATAAACATCCTCCACCGCAGTCAAGTCCCACAGCACAACATAAATATAATTTGTATCAAGGAGTAGGTGGGCAGCAAAACCCAAATGTAAGTATATTTGTTTAGTTCTCTCGAAAATAAATGTAGGTTAGTAACTTATGTAATATCTTTTGTAACCCCATGTCTAAGCTGATAACAGTATAGCGATAGACATTTTTTTAGAGTTAAGATTTTTTTTGTCATTATTGCCGTTTGTATTAGTTTTAATTATCTTTCAGATGCAAAGGTATCCAACTCCTATCCAACGACCTGTAAATTTCCAGCAAGTGCAACAAAATCCTGTGAATCAAAAACATAGAAGTAATTCCAACAAAACACCTAACCGACAGTATTATGGAAATCAAAGTAAGTACAATTATTTTTACACTCCTGCTCAATGACACGTATATAAATATGTTCATGATTTTTAAACTTGTAAAAATATTTGTTTCACTTTTAGTAAATTAGTTTTATAAATATGTTTAACATTATATGTAATATAATAAAGTAATCGAAATTTAAAAAAAAAATGTTTTTCCTTAATTTGTAGATCCAAACCAGAGTTTAAACAAAGAAAGATGTTTAATCTTCTAAAAACTTTGCTGATACTTTTTCTCTATTTTTTTTTAATCCGTAGATAAGTACAGTTGTTCCAGCGGTTCTTTACACGTGCGTCATTCCTAATTATTGCATATGAAACGAGACAAGACATTTTAGTCAAAACAATGTTTGTTTTAAAATTAAAAATGCAGCTACTGCTTCAACCAATGTCTAACTAGTATATCGTATATCGATAAAGTTTCAAATAAGGAAATAAACCAGAAAATAAGACATTTACCTTTTTAATATTATTTATAGGAAAAACCACTATTACATAAGATATTTGATTTCTAATTACTGGTAAGTGTAAATATTCCTGTTATATGGAACAGAAGCCAGAGGCAGTCAAAGCTTAACTGAAATATTAGAATGCCAGAATATGAAAATATAAATATTTATTTTAAATAAAATATTTAGGTACTTACAGTGAAATTAAAAGTACCTAGTATTATTCTGCCGTCATAAGCAAAACCACAGTAACTATGGAATGTAGATATTTGCAACAAAAGAAATTTATTAGTGCCAGCATTTTGATCGGTGGTACCGATATAGCTGATTTGTTCAATTAAAAACAATTTTTGGATAATGCTTTTAACTAATAAGTTTGATTTAATTTTTTGCGTTGGCTTGTGAGTAAAAGGTTTTTTGCAAAGCATGCTCTACAAAACTGTTAGTTATGGTGTAGAATCAAGTAAGCTTTTTTAGGATACAGAATAAATATTACCGGAAAGTTGCTTAATTTTTTAGAAGAAAAAAGCGTAAGTATCAGAATGGTAAAATAACCTCAAATATTTGTAATTTGTTAGTTATGGGGGTTTGGCTTATGACAGCAGTATTCTAAAAAAAATCAGTAACAAAACTAAAATGACAAGCTGACCACCACAGTGACAACTAACAGTGAAATCTCAGAATGTAGGGCGCTAATTATTTAAAGTATTATTATTTATTCAAAGACTGTTCTTTCATGTGTATTAAATCTGTAACCGGGTCATCTGTTTAAGAGACATATGTGATGCGTTTGAAAATTACCTCGTTAGCTCTTTTTACTCGAAGCCGTTCTTTTAATACATCTGCGGCTTCTCGATGGGATCTGCTCCGTGGTCTTTTAATGCAGAGCTGGTAAGTTGAGTAAGATCTATTTACCCCGAATTAAATTTTAGAGCTTTCGTAGTAAATGTAATTTCTGTGACAATTGACAAAGAAAAAAAGCAATTGAAGTCGAAGTTGTAGAGATGTACAGACAGTCGTTCGTTGTCTCTTATGTCCCAGTTTATTCGGTTTCATAATATTTACGTTGCTGGTTATTAAGAGCAAAAAATATTTATAAAAAATGTCAGACAGATATGAGAACATGGTTTATTTTCTAGTGAAAGCAAAAAATATCACAGCTAAAAATTAACTTTACTTTGTAACTTGCAACAAATACCATGAGACGAGATATTAAATTTGATTTAAAAGAAAGGGTAGTTTGTTATTTTAATGGAAACGGGAAACACAAACAAATCCATAGCCGTTCTTTTACTCCTCATAAGCTCGATTTGCTCGATGATCATTGACTAAAAAATCTACTAGCTCTACTTCACTCCAGGAGGTACTTTTCAAACGTAGCAAATGTTATGCTTTTCACTGTTAATAAAAACTGATGTTATGTAAAGAGATTATTACTCAATAGATAATGATTCCAAAACTGTATTAAACTGTCAGCTGGTTGCAAGACTCCATTAATTTTAATGAATGTTCTTGCAACCGTCTGTGTGTGTAATTTGAAGTTCATGTCATTTAGACTGATCGCATTCTCAAATTACGTAAAAATTTATCAGTCTCATAAATTTGAAGTAACGTTGTTACAACCGGCTGAATGTTTTTATCATTAGATATTAATGACGCACGGTACAGTCTATTCATTTTATTTACATCGTTAATATAATTAAGTACTAAATCGACTAGCTTATAATGGACTTTATTTGTTGCACTAGTGTCACACTCGACACTGTATTTGAAATCTCAAAGTTTCGTGATGGTTTGATGTACGTGTAACACTTTTAAATCGAATGTAATCTTGCAATGAGGCTTGCCCTGTAAATTTTAAGTAAAATTTATTTTTTTTTTCTCGTAAATATATATTGTTTTTTTTTTTAAATGTCTCGAATTCAGCCGGTTTTACATGTTTGGTACATTTTTTATTTATAGATTAAACTTACCTCTTCATCGTCATATTGATCAATTATATTTTTAATGAAGTTTATCATTTTGCTTAATTTTCTTCTTTCTAATAAAAGAACTTCCGTTAATACTTCATCTTCTTCAGATGAAGAAGATGATGATGATGATGACAAAAGCTAACATATTAGCCATTGTTCTATTAAAATCACTTATCATTCCACCACAGATTCATGCAGATCCACTCTTATTTTTTTGTATGTTGTTTACTACTTTGAAGACTAGAGGTATTTACTACAAATCATACATTTGACAGAAACACTGTCGTTGAAAGTCAGTGTAGAGGTTTAGATTCAGTGTACGTTTGTTTGAAAATAAAACAGTTACACTTTATCTACACTCAAATATTTGAAGTTACACTGAATAAATCAAATGCGATTAGTGCCAGAACACTTACACTTAATGCAACAAAACTTTCAGTATTTAAAATTGTCTCTAATAACATATTTTCCTTAATTTCCATATAACATTATGATAAATAAAATGGAAGTGAGTTTTAGATTTAAATGGAAGATCCGGACATAATATGTTAATTGGTTAACTCCAAACTACACTATTTGAGTCATTTCGAGCTTGCTTTTTGGGCTGATTGTTCTGTGGTGTTGGCTCGTTTTATCCGCTTCGGGTTAAATGTAAGGATGCACCTTATCATGTTACGTGAGTTTATTTACAAAAGCAGTATATTTCACATTTTTTAAAAGGCCATTTTGTTATCTTTGTAAAGTACTAATTTATTAAAACCAGATTTATTTATTTAAAAATTAGCCAACTTGTAGAATTCATATATTTATCAAAAACAATATGACACAATCAATATGTTTTGTGTTTTTTTTTTGTTTCATTTCTGGCGTTTATCTAACAAGATTTGCAGGGCAAGTCCACGCTTTATTTTCCTTGGAAGATGTAAACAAAATAAATAGACTGTAGAGATCGCTGACCCAAATATATATTGGTGGGTCTGAGGAACTGTTACAACTTCTGTCTTAGTGAGAAATAAAATATTCTTTTATTTTGATCATAATTTACTAAGGTTCATCTGCTGAAAAAAAAATTGTTTGTATATTATGTAAAAATAAAATTAGACATTGAACAATGTATTTCAGGCCAAAATGAAAAGTCTGAGGAAGGAAAACTAACTGATAATACATTAAGCAACACCAATCCGGCGGGGACTGCGAAAACCGCTTTGGGAACTGGCTCCGGCAGCTCAGTGACTGTTCCCACAGAAAAAATAAAGGACAACATTAAAGAGGAACCTGCTGCGTTGAAAGACTAAAAATTTTAATTTTTTAAAATAAGTTTATTCTAAGTACTAAACAAAAGGTATACGTTTGAAATTGTACATTTGCACATCCCTAAAAGAAAAACGGACACAAATTTTATATTGGGAACCTTTTTTATAACGAGGTATATTTAGATAAGATAAAGTTTTTTTTTTTAATTTATTTATTTGGATGTTTTCTGGATGAACAAAATGAGAGTTAACTGTATATATTGTGTTGCTAACATAAATCGTTTTTTGTTTCTGACAATTTTTAAATTCAGCATTTTTATCTGTATAAGCCTAAGGTACTTGAAGAGCGTAATAATAAAGCTAAAAATATTAATTTAAATCTTTAGCTTATACACCATTGTTCAGTATGGAAACGTTTGAATCAAGCATTACGTCTAAAATAATATCCTGATAGACCCAAATTCATAGAAGCAACAGTATGGTTGTCCTATTTCGTTAAATATGCAACATTGTTCATTTTACTTAACTTTAAACACCATTTAGAAATTTCACATTTGTATATCGGAAAAACGATTCATTTTGGCCCAAATATACTTATAATTAATTTTTCCATTAGGAGATCATTTATGAAAGAAAAAGTGAATAATTACCAGGGCTATCTATTATAGATATACTTAACTTAAATATTAGTCTTTCTATTTTCGCGCAAATTTTTATTTAAAATCAATTCTTTCCTAATTCTATATAATTTGTATTTCTTTTTTTATTTCGGATCGTTGTACTGATATAATTGTATCATTTTATTAGTAAATGTTTGAAAAGTTTTTAGTGTAAGAAACAAATATAGTAATAAACTGGCATTAAGAATTTCATCCTCAAATGCATTGCTTAAAATCTCTGTAAAAATTGTTACAGCCAGGCTAGCATTTGTTATAATTTTTAAATATATTTATTATTTTTGTTACATTATGAGTATTTTCATTTGCAATTAAAAACTGCAACTATTTAGTTCTATTTCCATAAACAACCCACAATATATTGATTTATTTAGATATTAGTAACACTGAGTTTGCATTTCCTTAGTGATACATAATCCTTTATTTTATACTTTTGTAATAGATGCAGGTATTATGGATAGAAAATTATAATCATGTCAATGTTTCCATTTTGTTAAGGAATTTGGCTTTGGACTATGAATTTAATTTGCACAAAAATTTCATGATTAATTTAATATTTAGATATTTTAATGCTCAATTTCATAATAAAAAAGTAATCAATTTCGAAAAACTATTAAAACAAACGGATAAGTTATACCTAAATCAAAATAAATGTAATCAGTACAGGTTTTTTTTTCATCCTAAATGCAATATTAGCACCGTATACAGTAATACAATATTTTAAGTGACGAAGATCGGAAACTATTGAAATGCTGTCCATTATTACTACAATAATCATTATGTTTCACTAATCATTGCTTTCTACAGGTACAATTAATTTTTTAGATGCAAATTAAGCAATAGAAAATATCGAGTGGATTTAGTTGAGGTAAGTGAAGAAATCAAGCTACAGAAGCTCTAAATAATAATACTTATTGCAATATTTCGGTAAAATATCTTTCAGAAATATACTCCTATTAACATTTCCATTTAAACATGTCCTAAAATAAGGAGTTTTTTGTAGTGCCATTCCTTGTTTTATTGTAAGGGAGTAAATTGTATATTATAGGCAAGGAAATTCACTTTTTAAATTACTGATGGGACTTTTCATATCGGGAAAAGTAGCGAAAAATCACAATGAAAAATACTAAAAAGTAGCAATAAAAAGTAGTCGACCTTGGACATAGAAGACACTCAGTTAAATCTCCATCCTAGATGTTTTTTCAAAAACAATTTGGAAACAATATTTGCATTTGTATTTTCGTTTTTTTTAGGCAAATCATTTATAAAATACTTCCAACCTTTGGTTTTTTTGGTAATTTTTTTCATGTATTTATTTTAATAAGATATGAAACGAAAATTCGAAAACATTGTTAAAACATATAAGTCAGTAATCATTTGTCGTTTCTTCTTTTTTTAAACTAAATTTTGCCTTTGTAGAAAATTCAGATAAATTAGATAATTTAATGTCGCGCTTGTGAAATACACTTTTCCACTTTTGAAAAGTGTGTTTGGACTAGTAAACTTTTCAGACTAGTCTGTCGGACTTGTCTGTACTTTTGCAAGAGATCCATCACTAATTTAAATAAACAGAACCTATCAATTATTATTCATTAAACGCAGAAAATAAGTTTTTTCATGAATTTCCCAAAAGGCCATCCAAGATTACTACCCGGTGCTCAATGCACTAATATCCTGAGGTGTCAGTTAAGTTGCAACCAGATACTTGTGCTTCTTTAACATATGTGCAGAATTTGGGGAGCATCTACGTCCTCAAAAAATGTATTATACTGTATAAATTCGTTTAATATCAACATTTTATTAATATAAAAAATAGATAACCTTGGTCATTTTCAACAATGACATGCAAAAAAGCTACCAGCCCACAGAATTGGAAAATAATTAAGATATTTACAACTGGTCCCAAGTCTTGAAGGTACTAGAAAATGTCTGTTTTTTGTTTTATTTCTATTTTTTTAGTCCATTTGAACTAGTTACCTAATATACAGAACTATTTAATAAACAAAATATTCATAGAATTATTGAAGATTAAGTTTTGTATCGTACCCTTTAAACCCAAAATAAAACCTGTCGACAAAATTTTCAAAAATTTATATCTAAATTAAGGGTCCCAGCATATATTCCCGACTCTGCATATTTTATGTTTTTAGTTGCCAAATTAAAAACACTTTTGTAATATCTCTCGTTGAAACCGTTTTACTACAGGGTAATACTACAATAATTAAGAATGTATTTGCAAACTGTACAATCCAAAAATGCCCTTGTAATTCTTGTAAAATATGTTTATAATTATTTGTTGTACATTTTAATGTATTTTATATTATACTCGAATGTATTCAGTGTGGATTAATTGTATCTTGTAACATTTTATGTTTTCCGGTTACTATTAATTTTGTTTAAAATGTTGATGCCCATTAACTCGTTAAAAAAAATTGATATTTAATGTTGAAATCGAAAAATAGGACAAAACATGGGTATTAATTAGTTTTGACGTAAATTATATAATGTTTTTTATTGTTGAACTGGGACCATGCCAGTCAGAAACATTAATTTTTTATTCCGTCCGTTCTCCATTTTTATTTATCCGTTAACAATATAAAATCTTGAAAATAGTTAAACAAATGATAATTATAAATTCTAGCCGGACGCCTCAGACAAATTTAAGAATGGAAGGAATTTGTTAATTTGGTTTTAATTCAAAAGTCTAATTTTTGATTTTACTGCATGTTGCAAATTAATGGAATCAAATCATTATTTTATAAAATGGTAGTTTATGAGAAAATTTCTGAAACCGTGAGTTACTGTTTTTACATGTTGAACATATCTTACTGTGTCAAATATGTATCATATTATGTCACCTCCTTTGCGAATTCTTTTTATTATCTAAGGATGGGCGATTTGATTTAGAGATTCGTGGAAGGACCAATGTGAAAATTATTAGTTTTTCGCTGCTTTGTGGAACTGAAGAAAATTGTTAAATTGAAAAAGACTGCAAATAATAATAATTATAAAATTGTCATTGTTAAATTTTTAGATAACCATTTACAAACACGGTAATCTTCAGTCTATAAACTAAGAAAAAACTAATTAAACAGTTTATATTTGGTAGATAATTGAAATATTTTTCAACAGAGGCAGATTTTGTTATACATTTGAAAGATATTTAAATAATAGATTAAGTATTTCAGAATTTTTCTCAAAAATAAAAATAATGACTTTTCCATTATTATACACATATTATACGTACTGTATGTAATATTTTGTAGATAATAAGTGTAAGAACGGGAAATTTTTACTTTAAAAAAATGTAGATTTATTTATCAATTATGTTCATGGAGTGTAATAAAAACGTAATTCTCACAAAATAAAAGTAATAAAATTAGATAAGCGAATCTATAAAAGAATGTATATTATGTTTGTTAAGTGCCCTCACGTTATAATGCCAAAATACAAAAACTTTGTATTACATGTACAAAACTTTAAACATTAAATTGCTACAAAAATTCGAAAACTAAGCGTGACGCGAATAGCAGTAGAAATAGTTTTTCTCTGATACTGTTACTTTTGAGACTTTAAAATAATATTTCGTATTTTTGGAGCTTTATCTTGATACTTAAAGATGTACCGCTTCTATGTATCTTCATGTAAAAACGTTCACTTTGTACTACCATTGATTTGACTTGTGTAGAGATTATAAAATAATCTTGTTTTCTTACGAGATTGTGTAAGGACTTAATGTATTTTGTTCATTTCACACGTATGCACAATCTCAATAGCTCATTAAATTTTTTAGTGTAGTTAGCAATTTATAGTGAACAAAATATTAGAGTGAGTGATTTTAAACAAATAATATGGACTTGGACAATTTTCAATTAGAAGTTTTTAATTTATTGGTGAACATGATTTTTTATACAGAACTTAAATCCTGGAAGTGTTAGATTTATTGATTAAATACTAGACGGTATTATTTCTTTTAAAACTGCAATTTTATTTAGGAATACTAAATTATTTCTTTTATTATAATTAAAATATTGAGTAAAAGTAATTTAAATATAACTTGCTTGTTTTATTAACATTTGAAATGTTGACTAATAAAATGGTCAGCATTTTTGTTACTTATGTTAGAATGACCGATTATTCGTTAAAAAAATACTAAGTAATAATTGGACTATAAGTATGTGAATTGAGTACTGATCTTAAAGATAAGTGGAATCAAGCTATTCCCATAAAAACTGTTTAAGTTGTCTGTTTATATTAATTTACAGGTAGTAAAAAAGTAGGTATGTAACTAAAATATTTTTATTGCTAATATAACGATTGTATGTTTTTAGATAAGAAGTTATGTTATTAATGTGTTGTATTATCGCTGTGGTAGAGCATGGGCAAAATTTAAACAGTCCTTTGGTAGTTGGACAGGTGTTAAACGTCGAACCCCGTCGGACTGTTGGAAATTCACGGTAAAGTTTGTCCGAATCGTAGAATATGTAAAGTGTGGAGCGTGTTGCTCCACGGCACTTACGCCCATTGTGCATACTCCTAAATTGATAGATCCTCTTAGCTCGTCAGCCAGCCTACAGATTTGATGTAGTTGACAAAGTCGCCGAGAAATGCCTCTTTTATATCGGCCATTGTTAGCCATATCTCGCCGAACACAAATCTAATAATGAAAGTGTTGGGCAATCGTAGAAGATATGCTTGATGGTCTCATCTCTTGTTCACACCCTCTGCAGGGTGTAGATTTTGACAGCCCCATGCTATGGAAATGCTTCAGTACTTGGCAATGGCCAATTAGAATGCCTGTGATCAAGTTCAGTTTCTGTGTATAGTCATATTTGTTTGCTGTGGTGTTGTCAGGGTAACTTAAAAGCTCCCTGACAACTCTACAGCTTCTTGTTTAATCTCTCCTTTCCTTGAATTGCACAAGGGAACGTTTGCCACTACTGATTTTGTCCTTCCAATGGAAGTGGTCCAAAAAGTATTTGGTTGACTAGTGAATCGGCAAGATGATTTCCTTCCGATGTGGCGTGGTGATCTTTGATCTATCTTAAGATGACCATATTGTTGATGGATACTTTGGCCAAAGCTTCGTGACATTTTAGTACTATTCCTGAGTAAATTCGTGTTCTGTCAAATTAGTTGGAATACGCTAATTTAAGGGTATGGTCCGATATTATAGTCTATTTTTATGTATGAGAGAGTATTAAAATAAAGCGTTCGTAATCCATAGGCGTACCACTTCTTTTAGTAGACAGTTAAAATATTTTTTGAAGTTATTCCTCGAGTATACACTTATATTTTCACCTAATTAACCTGCTTATAACTTCTAAACGGCTGAAGGTAAAAAGTGCAATTTTTTCTAATGTTTTATTTTTCCACAAGGTATGTTAAGAACATTGTGTCAAACGGGTTATGTAGGTATAAGGCTTTAAACTTTGACTTTTAAACAACGTTACGTTCATAAATAATAATTTTAATATAAAAACTACTTACCTACAAATCCAAATCAGAATCGAAATCAGAAGATGAACTGTCGCAACCAATATTTACAATGAGTGGCTCGATCATTTCATCAGTAATATTGTCCAACTTCCACATTTTCTCTTCTTTAATCGTATGATTTACTGCCTTTTCCCAGTTTTCAGGCTTCACATTATTTACAGCCTCCAAAAACAACTGTTTAACATCACTCATTTTAAAAGAATTAATTTTTCTTGAAACTTCTCCCTTTATCTGTGCCCATATCAGTTCAATCGAGTTTACTTCGCAATGATATGGTGGTGATCTAACCACCGTAATCCCACGATTTTTTGCAATTTCATATTTTTTGAATTTCTCTTTATGAAGGGAACACAAATGATACACTTATTTTCTCACAGAACCGGGATGGAACTTAATATTCTTTGAATTTAGCCAATTCTGTAAATCTTTTTTTAACCACTTGGTTGTGGGCATTTTTTCTATAAGTCTCGAGTGATAACTTGCATTATCCATTACTATTATACAGTTCTGAGGAAGAAGATCTATAATTTGTTCGAACCACTCTTTAAAGACATCAGCATTCATGTAGTCATGCACCGGTACGAGTAGATTGAAAAGTCAATAAACCACCTTTAACAAAACCGTTTGAACTACCGATGTGTACTATAGTTTAGGAGCCCACTGCAAAATGTTGGGTCGATCACTAGCATAGCTAAATTTTCATGAAAACGTCGGGCAATATACTGTGTAGTAGTAATCCGTTGGCAGCCACTACAATATCGTTTGCGTTTTACGTTATAAAAAATTATTAACAATTGAAAATATGCGCCACCCTTCACCAATCGCTTTTTTGCTAAATTTTCTACCTAATCGATAGATAGTAATTAAATATAAATTTCTAATCTCGGCTGCCGACCATCATCCCTTGCGTTAAGGGTGGCTGATGGATTCGAAAAGTACTATAGCAATGTTGTTTTTATACACTCATCGCTTTTATAGTCAAACTATATACCGTTGACAAAGTCGCAAAATTTCCAACAAGAAAATACCCGGCTGCCGCGCGAAAGCGTTTGCATAACTCAGGCTGCAGTGATTTTGTGCGCGCGCAATATTCGGTCAAGTTTAAAATCCACGCTTTAGAAAAGGCACAGTTTAAAGATTATATATTCTTTAAACTGTGGAAAAGGATAAGGAGTTTGGGAGTGTGCGTACAGCTGACGTTTATTTGACATATTTTATTGCATATTTGTTCCTTTGCCGTGATATTAATAAATTGTTATAGCGATGGCCAGGGGCTTTATCCTCGGCTATCGTTTTCTGAAAAACGTATACGCTTTAGCAACATGCGAGCTAGTCGCTATTCTCGACATTCGTTTTAAAAGTGTGTACGTTTCTAAAACGGGTGTTTTTCAGTCAGCGGATTTTTCCCACGTTTTTAAAAAAACGTGCATGTTTTCAAGGATTTAACTAATGTCACTTTTAGAATGATTCATAATATTGATTGATTTTAACAAAATCTAGGTAAACTATTTTCTATTAATACCTATGAAAGCATCTAATTTCTTACAAATATGGTTTGTAGTACTAAAAAAGTCTATTAACTGAGAATTTCTTTCAATTAGAAAACTTGGAAGATAAGAATCCTCAAAGATTCAGGCACGCAGAGGCAGAATTCATTTTTTGAATTTACTGGATATTGAATGAATATTTTTTTATATCTTACTGTGCAAGAATTTAATTATTAATTCATGTTTGTTTTATTTACAGATATTAATTTGCTTGCGGTTTCTTGCAAGTGGTAGTTCAAAGCTCTTCTGTATCACACGTTGTGTCCAGAAAAGTTATTATTTAAATTAATTTGGTTCCTTAAAAACTAGGTTTTCTTTATGACGTACGATTTTCCTAGAATTTTAGGTTGTATTAACTACACCAGTACAACTATTTTTCCGCAAAAAAAATAACGATTTAGTTTTTCCTGAACTTTTATTTATTATGTGATTATAAAAAATCATCATTCGTTAAATTTACAAATGGTTTGTTGTAATTAAATTACATATGCTGCGTTTGAATATCTATATCGGATGCAACTGAGATGTTGTGAATTTTTTATCACGTGATAGAGGATTAGATTTAAATGTAGATGTAATAAACAAATGCTCTAGACTTTATTGGTCATATGATAAAAATGAAAATGATAAGTTAGAAATCCATATTTTTTAAATTTGACTTTTAAAACTAGAAATCAACCTAAATTTAAAATCTAAACAAAAATTAAACACACGAATCACTTTTATATTCACTCTAGCATAAACAAAGGATAAACCAATAATCTTGTCTACACAGAAAACCTACTTTCTGGCATGGAACGAACATCTCATTTACATCTCATTTGAAAAATGTAATCTGGACAGCTACATCTGGGATAAACAAACGCAGATGTAGATATAGTAGATGTTTCCGATGTGGATGAACAAACGCTCGAGATGTTAAAAATACATCGGATGTGGATATTTAAACCCGGCAATATTCCTATTTTTTTTTTATGGTTTGCATTACTTGAATTTAACAGTTTACAGTAAAGCCGGACATATTATTTGCTTGTTAAAAACGTACACGTTTTAAAAAACAAATGCTCATCGAACGCCAGTTAAGAATATAGATTTCAAAAACTACTCGCTTTTCAACCATACACTTTCGAAAACAGTTCGTTTTTTAGCGATTGTCGAGGATAACCATCCAGGTGTTTTGTTTGCAAAAATGACGGTACCTTCTCGAAATGCATCGACGAAACTTACAAAAAAATAACCAGTGTACTACAATTTCGCAAAGAAAAAAAATTTAAATACGGAAATTTGTTGTTGCTAAACCAATACGACGTCGAATATCATTCGAAATGTTTAAAGAAAATAACAACTTTGAATCCAAAATACCGAGATGAGCTTGTACTTGAAAATATTAATTTGCAAACCACTGTAAGTATTGACTTTTTGTATGATTAGAAATCTATCTTCTGCAATAAATGCAGATTAAATAAAACAAATAAAAATTACGTGGTTGTGGAATTGCCCGTAAGAAAATAATTGTATTTCGAAAGAAATGATTATCAACGCGTACGAAATTATCGAGCAATATGACAGCGATGTCGATTCCGATATCAATTACTCAGAAAACGATTCTTCTGAGGAATTTAGTGTATATCCTTGAACTTATTTTTTCATATTTTGTTAACTTTAACGACGTATAATTTTATAAATTACAATAAATAAAACAAAATTAAGACTTCTATATTTATTTACTTCTATTGAACATTAATTACTCCCTCAGCTTTAGATTTATAGGGACGTTTTAAACATAATTAAAAGTGAAAACAATAAAAAACAACACAAACTATATATTTATAAAAATAACAGAAAAACAAATATTCAAAGAATACATTAAAGCGAGACGCTCTAGCTTTGACCGAAAGTCGCGTATTCCAACTAGAGGCAATAACAGTTGTCAAATAAACGTCAGCTGTGCCCATACTCCCAAACTCCTTATCTAAAGCGCGGATTTCAAACTTGACCGAATATTG